TTTTCTTTTTGTTCCTAGGTTATCCTTTGTTCTGTACAGTTCGATTAGGCTTAAGTAGTTTTCGTCTTTTCAATTTCACTGTAATTTTACTTTAGATTTCCTTGTTGTTTCTGTTCTCTATCTTGTTTGATTCGGCTTCATTTCTGTATTATTTATTGGTTTACATTTTGGAATACTTTCATTAACCCCCCCCCCCAAAAAAAAATTTACATCATGTATAATAGTTAAACGAACTGCCTAAGCATCATGTTAATGTAGCCTTGTATAAGGTATAAAGTTTAGTGTACTCTAATCCATTATAATAATGGCACAGGACGAGACACACATTCGACATGTAATGCTGTTTGAATACAAGAAGGGAAACAATGCCTCTGTAGCCACAAAGAATATCCAAGAAGTTTATGGAATTGTTTTGAACGATGGTTCAGCAAATTTCTTTCAGGTGATTTTAGCCTTAAAAATTGTGATGGCAGGGGCCAACATGTTGGAATAGATATTGATGCTCTGAAAAGATGCTTGTTGAGTCTAACTCAAGGCAACACACTCGTGAAATGGCCATGAACTTGCATGTCTCTTATGAAAAATACGTAAACATTTAAGGAATATGAGAAAACTCTAAAGAAGGTGTTTGGGTGCCTTACAAACTCTCTGATGATCATCGTTTCCAATGAGTAATGCGCGTGAACCATTTTTGGACAGAATTGTCACCTGTGATGAAAAATAGATTTTCTGTGCAAATATTAAATGCCAAAACCAATGGCTCAGTCCTAGACAAAACCACTTTTGACCCCAAAACCTGGACTCCATTTGCAGAAAATGATGTTTTGCATTTGGTGGGACATCAAAGAAGTAATTCATTTTGAACTCCTCAATCTACAGCAAACTGTCAATGCAAAGATCTATAGTCAGCAACTGGAACATTTCAATCAAGCTCTTCATCAGAAATGCCCTTCACTTGTTAATTGGAAAGGTGGTCTTCTCCACGATAATGCATGTCCACATGTGTCACGTTTGACACAACACAAGATTATGGAGTTGGGTTGGGAAGTTCTCCCCCACCCACCATATTCTCCAGATATGGCACCATCAGATTACCATATTAATGGGAAAAACATATGCAAATGTGGAAGGTGTTAAAGAGGACACTGACATGTTTTTTGCTTCAAAGCCAAGTGATTTCTTTAATCAGAGCATTAACAACCTGATTGTAAAATAGAAAAGCATCATTGATAAGAATGGAGACTTTCATTTAATAAATGTTTTGTTTTGATATATAAGTTGTTCAAGCTTTTTCATGTAAAAAAAGTGACATCAATTTCTTGATGACCTAATACTCAGGTTCTAGTTTTTCTTTCTCATTACATCATATGAGATTGATTCCCTACTCTATTTTATTTACATTTTAATTTGTTTTTCATTATAGTTTATCCTTTTACAGTTACTTTTGTTTCATCCCTACTTTATAATTTTTACCATTCATTTCATTTAGTTTATAATTTATCCTTCTTACCATTAATTAATTTATTGGTTTCCTGTAGTTTTATGGACAGGTTCATATTTACCATGGTTCCAGATTTTTCTTCAACTGAACATCATAAGGGATACATTTCCTACACCATTTTCTTCCCGCTTTTCAATATGTTAACTATTTCATTTAATTTTGTTTTCTAGTTTATACTTTTTACAGTTACTTTTGTTTAATCTCTACTTTATACTTAATTACCATTAGTTTTGTTTCATTTATAATTTATTATTTGTACCAGTAATTTAAATTAATGTGTTGGTTCCTGGAAGCTAGGGTCTGTCATATCTGCTTCCACTATTGCTCATCTTCCCCATCTAACGGCTCAACTCATTTTCCAACATCCTAATATTGTCAGTTCTCCCTGACCTTATCATGGAATGCATTCCATACTTCTGCTGCAGTGTCTGCTAGACCTATTTTACACATTTTCAGACACATTTTACAGAATATTATCTTCATGTCTTCTGTGCTGTAACTTTTGTCTCCTTTGAGTTTGGCTACTTACAAACCTTACCCTCTATGGGCTTTCAGTTTTACCTTTGTTTAACTTCAGGCAGATTTCTTCTGGCATTTGTCATTCTTTTTCCCCTATTGTTTCTGATACCTTTAATGTTTCATGCTTTCTTTATTTGGTTCTTCAGTTCTTTCCTCCTCATGACTTCTTTGCTTTTAGGTTAATATTGGGTGTGACATTGCAGTTTGTTTTCCTTTCCATTATTAGTAGGATTTTAGGGTGTGTTCCTTTCCTTCTCTTGTCTCCTTTTTTGGGATGTTGCTCCTGTGGGTGGCTCCACTTTTCACATATCTGCTCTTTTGGTCCCCCTTGCACAATATTCATATCTTTGCATGTCATGTTCCGGGTGCTCTTGCTCAGATCACAGTTTGTTTTTCTCGTCCTGACACATTCTATCCATCGGAGTGGTCTCTCGATTCTCTTGTTTTCTGGTGGCTTTGTCTTCCATGGGATTCTCTCCACATATATCTCTTAACTGCCCATTACTCCTATTTGGTATGCAGTACCTTCTCCTCTAGCTAGAGCTGTTGATTCCTTCAGCCGAGATTGGTCCCACAGATTCCTGTATGTTCATCTTCTATTTTCTTAGTTCCATGGGTGATTTCCCTCATCCCTACCATTCTGTGTTAGGTCCTTCTGATTGCTCCTTAATGGCCAGTATTTTTCTTCATCTTCAACTTCTTCATCCACTTCATTTGCTGGTACTCCATCTAGACATTCACATTGTTCTTCTTCACACTCAGCTCTTATTCAGTCTTTGGTGGAGAGATCAGGTTTATATCTGCAGGTAGCTTTCTTTTAGCTTGTTCCATTCACTCTTCATCAGTGGGTGTTTATTGGCATAAATGGAAAGTGTTCAGCAGTTCATCTATGAGTCAGGGATTTCTGCAGATCGAACCTCTGTGTCTTGGGTGGCAGAGTTTCTTCCCTGTTTTTTTTTTACTTTAGGTTATCAGGCAGCCTTATCCAATACTTTCGTTGTTTTTCCCCAATACCGCAGTTTTTACCTTCTGGATTAATCGTCCTCCCTGACTGCCTACTATTCTGACCTAGTATATTATTGTAATATTTTATTCCCTCATTTTATCTTTGTTTGCATCACTTTCCTCATGCTTCATGTATCACCCTCCCTTCAAATATATTTCCTTCTCCTCTATGCCTATGTACGTTGGAGGTCGGATTTGTTTCCCATGATATTTCTTGTGCATTTTTTTCACTCCCTCTCTTCTTCTTTATCAGGATTTTTCCTTCCTACCCAAGACATCAGTGGTTAGGGGAGGTTACTCCTTTTGCCTAATTCACTTCCTTTCATTTCCCATCTTTATCCTTGTCCTAATTCCGAACACAGAGTGGTCCCATCCTCGGTCCTTGGTTGAGCACAGTTTGGTCCACATCTTCTCCATAATTCTGGAGACAAATGGAATTTATCTTATCCATACAGTTGGGGAGTGAGGATGAGTGTTCATAATTCCAGCCCAGATGAGTTCTATTTCCTCAGATTGAGTATGGCATACAGTATCCTGTTATTCTGAGTTTGGGGGGCTGCCTTTTGAACTTCTTCAGATTGAGGAGAGGGTTTGTCTACTTCGGTGGTCCTTACCTTGTTGTGATTATGGTGGCTCAGTACACATCACTCTATAGCTGTAGGTGGGGATCCACTCACAAATATATATATATTGCAGTCACCAGTGTGAGATTTAGGGACCATGGTCCTATAATTCCAACCCTAAATAGTGGAACCTCTGTTACCTGGTTGGGGCCTGGCCAGTGATGATGACGGATCATGTCAAATTTTATCTGCAGTATTTTAATTAGGTTTCGGGGGGAAGAGCTTACCTGTTCTGGATGTTGTGTGGTTCCCTCACTAGGGTGCTGATTTTCTATTGGCATGACCACAATCTATGCAGACACATTCTGTATTGATAATATCCTCATTTGTCCCTCCACCTTATCAACGTGGGATTCTAGCTGTGGTGTTAGAGGAGGTAAGTATGTTTTGGAAGATAACATTTTCTTGAATTGAAAATGTATTTCTAATAATACTTACCTCCTCTCTCACTTTCCCACCCTTCCTCCCCAGTAAGAGCCGGTGTTAGAGACTGCTGATTGGGTCAGTCTTGAAAAAGTGATAATATTATCTGAATGAGGTGCTTATATACAGTATCAGGATAGAGGGCACATTGGCATAGGTGGAAAGTGTTACAAGATAGATATTGCCAAGAGCAATTAAGTGGGGAATAAAAGACTGGAGCAAATGAGAAAAAATCAGACCAATGCTTAGATTGGCAAAGGAAGGAAACCCCAACAGTCGAGTAAAAGCTGTAGTGTGTGTAGAGGTAAGTATTACTGGAAATACATTTTCAATTTAAGAAGATGTTATCTTTAATAATAAACGGAGGAGTAAATATGAACAAAGAATTTATTTTACATAGTTCATAATCTCTTTCTTTTAATTTAAGTGGAAGTACAAATATTACAACATGCAAAACAATTGAAAATAGAGACATGTTGGGCCTAAAAATATGTGGGTCACATTTTTCAGAAGCAATGTAAATGTTTTGGCTCATCAGTGCTAACTGTGCTCAAGTACAAATAAATGTATGTTTACTTAGAAAACTACAATTACAGTTTCTACTTTATACTGTACACTGATCAATGTTCTTATGAAATGTATTGGTTTTTCTTACTGATATTTACTACATTTTGGAAGAATGCCTGAGATATAATATTGAAACACTGCAGAGGTAAAAAAAAAAGTGTTAAAACTTGGAAAAGCCAATATTATAATACCTGATCTTTATTGTAGAATATATTTTGTTTTCTTTTTGATTTCTGCAAAATGTGTAGTATTTTATAAAACTATTTATAGAATCTTATACTCATAGGAGAAAAGTGGTATACATTCTTAAAATGTTTACTTTATACAACAATTTCTACATGTAACCTTTCTTCTTTTTCTAGAGTATATATATATACATATATATATATATATATATATATAATGTCAGTCAGCACTATGTTTTGCTCCCGTTGTGGGGATGGTTTTGAGCCCCATGAAAAAGTTGTAAATTCCCATGGAGAAGTATGGCATCAAGGATGCTTTGTGTAAGTACCTGTATCGTCAAAGTTTCTTCCTTTTTTTCTCTATTTATATTATTTCAACATAATATACCCATAAGTCTATTTAAGAAAGCATTGTTTATTTTCGTGTTAAAACTTATAAAGAATTATGAGTAATGTAATTACAGACTAAAGCTTTTTTATCACACTGCTGCATATAACATCCATAAAAATCTACTGTGAAATTTCTGAAATTGGGTAATGAGTTATGGCTTACACTAAAATATTCAGAAAATATATAGATAAAGTAGTGTGAAAACTAAAAAAATAATATTACTTGACTATATAGTGCCTGAATGGGTGCATTTCATCCCAAGAGTAAAACTGGACCACTAGCTGAATTAAAAAATCCTATAGAAATTAACTTCCATTCAATCTTTCACACATTTTGAGAATAAATTGCTTCAGATTTGAAATTCATTCAATAAAAAAAAGTTATATTTATTTAATTTTATACATATAAATATTTTAAAATAAGGTTGAAATTGTTTTGAATAAAATGGTGCTAATTTGAGGTTTGTGACTTGAATACAGTACCAATTTTTAATCTCAGTTGTCATGGTATGATGTAATTGCCTGAATCTCAGCTTTGAGATATTATAACATAATGATCAAAACAAATAATGAAAGTTCGTTTTCTGTTCTTTTTGACTGTATAAGCTAATTTTAGTGGAGATTCACATAGCGATTGTAACAAAGTAATAAAATAAGAGATATGTTGCTAGAAGAAAAGATGTTTGTGTATAGCTTCTGCTACAATTATCAGCCCAACTAACTGCTTGAAGTGACAAAGGAAATCACCAAAAAAGAAATTTAAAAATTATATATATATATAACTTAAACAAAAACAGGTTTTTCTTTTATTTAACTCCAGTACTCATAAACACAGTGAAATTGTGTGTGGTGTTTTTTGTATCAATAAAAAGACAAAATATCATTTTATAAAATGAAAACTATATAGGTGAGTTGTACCAAAACACAGCAAGACAAATTACTTTGCACAGACCAAAGGTCAGTTTTATGTTATTTGACGGTAACATGAGTGCATGTGAGCCTCATCATTGTAACTTCTGTATCATTAGCTAGGCATAGCTAAAAGGTCAATATAATAAAAAATATTAAATATACATAAGTGTATAATGTTATGAGATTTTAAGCAATTTAATCTAAACACTTATGTTTTTGTGTTATAATTTGTGTTCATTCTAGAATGAAAGAGGCATAATTTATATTTATTTTATAATTTTTTATGGTGGTTGCAAGATTGGTCAAATCTACTGAACCCATACAGATATTAATTACTGAAAATAACAGATAAAATATAAAGTTTGTTCTTAAGAAACGTTTTATAACTATCTCAACATTATAAAGATTTCACATGTGAAATTTCAGAATTTTCTGATGCATAAAAATATTTTTAATCTTAAAATGAATATTTCTTTGCATGATAGATAGGCAACATGTGAAAAGAAAAAATAGACATGAGAAAAACATTGCTTTATAAACCTTAAGACTTAATAAAAAAATTGAAAGCATATGAAGTGTATGAAAGCATTGTAATGTTTACTGATAATCTGCCCAACATTCACTTACTAATTTAAAAGTTATAGCATGAAAACTATAAGAAGCACAAAATGGTTACAAGGTCGGTTCCAAGGACCTAGCCCGTGATGAAAGAGTTAAACAGTGCCCCATTTTTGATTACAATAAAATGTGTCCTTTTAAAGTTTTCATTTTAAAAAGAAATAATAAAGGAATAATGCATCCAAATGTTAGTATTTGACTTTGACTAAAATCTCAGAGGAAGAAAATTCTTTTAATCTAAAGTTCTAAATATAAGTTTTGAAGTATACTTTGGATGCCAAGGTTCATTTTTGTGAAACCACAAAGCAGAAAACTATCTGTTAATAAAAAATCTCATTTGTTTCTTAAAGATTCCATTTTCTATAAGATCATACAAAAGTTTTTTCATTTGAAAACAGAAGTTACTTCTTCAAAGTGGCATATTGAAAGGTTGGGCCTTAAAATTTTTCCTAGCAGTTTAAACCTCTTTTGTATCTTAGGTTTATCAGTATAAAAATGAACTTCCAATACAGTACTTCCCTCTTCTCAGAAGATTAGCTTTTCCCATTTTATGCTCTATATGCAAACTTTTGTTATAACGCATACCACAAGCCTTCCACACCCCCTATATTGGAATCAAAGATTCCAATGTGTGTCTCATACAAATCATCATGTGTCATCTCTCCACCAATAGGCGAGTAGTACAATCACATGTCTCCCTCTGTATGCCTCTACCAAACTATCACTTCTCCTTTGGAAGTGCTCGTGTTCAGACATTTTGAATTTTGTTCTCGTGTTCTTTGTCACCGTGACTTTAACAGTTTATTGCCATAGTGATTTAACATTTTTATAGCCACAGTGGTTTTCTACTCATTTGCCTGATGAATACAGCTGATGAATGTATTTTAAATTATTGTCCAGTCTTGAATTTTTTTGCACAATGTATTGATCTGTCAACCAAGTTATGATGAATTCTGTGTTTTCCCTATGACTTTCTGCCATTGCTGTAGGTGGGGGCGACCTGTTGATGAATTTGCCTGCGATTGTTCACTGGGTGATTGGTTGTTATGTGGGTCAAACACCTTCTACTGTTGCCCCACTTTCTCACAGCTGATGGCCTTTTCATCACCGGATTTTCCCGTGTTGAATTGTGTGCTCTTTTTATGGCTCTGCAATGCTCACTGGTGAGATGGAGTTTTCCACAAGATTGATTGAAGGTGAATAACCTTGCAATGTTTTTCCTTCATAAACATGCCCGTTCCAGACCGTACCACCCATGAACGGCATGGGTAAAGCAGAAGGGGATAGCTGCCCATCCCTGTCTTGCCTCAATTGAATGAATCAGTATGGTCTGCTTTTCAAAATAGTTTCATGATCACCCATTGAACTGTCTTTGGTGTCGATGATCCTCTGGGCTCTCCTTCGCACTATCTGCCCTCCTTCTATTCAAGTAGAGTATGAGAGTCCTTATCACTTACCAGTTCCAAGCCACTGGGGTGGTTGACCATGGAGACACCCTGCTGAATGGGTTCCATAAAGATGGCTATAGCCATCTAGTTCAGAGCAGGGCATTGGTGTATGCTCCTTTGGATTGAGTTTCATATACCATGGAGTGAGACATCAAAATCTAGTTTACCCCTTCAATTGGGAACCCTCATGCAGATGTCAGTACCGCATGGGCTGGTTTTGGATTTAGAGTGAGCCAATCAACATAAATCCTCACACAGGTTTTTGGGTTGTCTGTCTTCCTTCCTTCTGTGTTGTGGGTCACAGTAAGGATACGTGGGATGTCTCCATCGATGTCCTAGGCTCTCCCTCGTTCTCTCTTGTAATGTGGATGTTATTACCCTTTGGAAGTTCCAGACCAGTTTCACGGTCGTGGGAGTTGATTGTATGTGATGGATTTCCCAAGGATGTTGGATGTCCTGTTCCCAGCTCCCTAGCTAAATGCTAATCCTGTGTCATACCCTGGAATCCATGTGTTATTCTTGTCCATGATTCTGGGGTTTGAGGTGAAGATGGTATGATCTTTATCCTACCCTTGCATGGGTGTCAGTACACAGCAAGGAGGTTTTGGATGTAGTTGACTTACCGAGTATGGGCTGCCACACCCTAGCCATTCTACATCATGGGACTCATCTTCGTTTACCTACTTTCTTCCTGTGGGATGAAGATAATTTCTCTTACCAGTAGGATCACTCCCTGCCATATTCTCTCTCACTCGGATGTGCTCCCTTCTTTTTCTGCCATATTCTTCCAATTTCATATGTGGCAACAAGTATACCTGGATCAAAAGTTGTGCGGTTTCCCTCCTCAGATCTCTGGATCTGATGCTCTCATCTACAGGGGTATCCTTTGAACACTTTTGGAGGGTTTCTCCTTCTTATCAATGTGGGATTCTAGTTAATCTTGTGAGTGGAGGGAAGTACCATATCGGAAGTTATAATTTTCCTTTATTGAAAATGTATTTCCGATAGATACTTCCTTCCACTCACACTTCCCACCCTTTCTCCCCACAATCTTCGGGTGCTTTCGTTGTCTGCCAAACTTTGAAGTGATAGTTTGGTAGAGACGTATAGAGGGAGTCGCATGCATCACGTGATTGTACTGCTATCCTATTGATGGAGAGGTCATGCATGATGATTCGCATTAGAGATACATTGGAATTTTTTATTTTAGTAGGGGGTTTGTGGAAGGCTTGTGGTATGCATTATAAATAAAGTTTGCATATAAATGGCAACACAAAACGGGAAAAGCTAATTTTGTGAGTGAAGGGATGTACTTATCGGAAATACATTATCAGTATAGGAAAATTATAACTTTTAAGAGGGAAATGAAACATCCTTAATTGTGACAATTAAATGTTTCACATATTTTTCACAAATAGAATATCTTCAACATTATATGTAAAGAAGAGCAGCTCACATGAACACTGCAAGATATAGTTCTCATTAAAAATATATTGGCAAGTCTTGAGACATCAAAACACGCACAAACAAGATGCATTTTATTGAAATTACCTATTATTATGCATAATACTTATTCTGAAGTTGTGTAATCTGAAAATTTACTAAGGTAGTAAATGAAGTGACTCTGAGAATTACTTTGTTTTATTATATATATATATATATATATATATGTATATATATATGTGTGTGTGTGTGGTATTCAGTTTCATTACTACCTGACAGATAAGTTTAAATGTACCTACAAAATGCAGATTCCAGAGATGTAATGTATTGAATAAGTTGATTACAAACAGCAAAGGAAAGAAACACAATTGAATATTTCAAACAAAATTTTTATGCACAAAAATTGTGCAACTCCTCACATGTACTGGCAGTTGGGGTGACAGGGTTTCCTACACTCTTCCACATGGGACAAAGACAAAGAAGTCTGATTTCACATTGAAATTCAGACCAAATGCTAAAAGTGCAGTATATCATAATCCAATGCTAAATACATTACCAACTGTTCCAAGCAACATTTATTGGGATAACAACCTCTAACTCATTCAGAAATGTACAATTATCTGTACAACCCCTTGAGATGGGCTTGCCTCTCTCAAGATGGACAGACACACATCCAAAGTGATAAAGTTTCTAGCCATTGGCATATTCAAGCTTTACGTAGGTAAAAGTTTTATTACATGGTTAACAAGATTATTTTACTACATTCAGAACACATGCAAGTAAATATATTTAAAAAATTTCCTTGTATATACCTGACTAAAGATCTATATTATGAACTAGTCATAAAAGAGTGAAATTCATGACTATTTCAATCATTACATATGTATAATGTTTGTAATAATATCGATTTATAAATCCTTAACATCAAACTTTATTGTGTATTTTTAGAAGTAACATAAACTGGAAGTAAATAAGTTAATTTTTTAATGCACTAATATGTTTCTAGTAAAAATTAGTTAAAATTTCAAAAAGTTGAAATTTTTATTGTCAGGGAGAATTGTTTTTTATATTTTGTTCATATTTTTACTCAATTTGTTCTCATGGAAACTTTGCAGATGTGCTCAGTGTTTTAGACCTTTTCCCGAAGGGATCTTTTATGAGGTAGGGAAAAACTTGAAATTGTGGGTTAAGAAATATGTGATGAAATTGACTTGCTTTTTGTTGTAATGTCTATGTAAATTTTACAATACTCTTTCAGCTTTAAAGTTGCATAAAATTGAAAATTATTGCTATATTATATAAAACAAAGTGAAATTATTATTGATTTGAGCTATGAATATAAATTGTTGTAATGTCTAACAGTTCATTGAATCAGATTTTGCTTTGTTCCACTGGTACATCTTGTGTCGTCTAGAAGTAAAAAATATAGCACTTTGTTAAAATCGTTAATTTTTTTGTTAAATATATTTGTGGTGTGATTTTAGAAAAAAAGTATGTTTTTAATACAGTTTGAAGGTAGAAAGTATTGTGAACATGATTTCCATATTCTGTTTGCTCCATCCTGTGGAAAATGTAAAGAGTTCATTATTGGTCGAGTTATCAAAGCTATGAACAATAACTGGCATCCCAACTGCTTTCGGTGTGAGATGTGTCAGGTACCATTAGCTGACCAAGGATTTATTATCAATGCAAAGAGGTAAGGAAATAAAAATCCTATAACAAATATAATAGTTAATGGTATTGTAGAAAATACATATAACTAATCCAATTTGTTAGGATTTCATAGATTTATAAATAAAATAAAATATTTTCACTGTTTTGTTTCATTCTATAAGTATAAAAAATTTTCTGGTGAGTGATTGTTGTTTGAAAAATAGAATTCTGAACTAAGAATAATTCTTATCTTGAACATTGTTCCAAAATATCTTTTCTTTACTTTCTATGGTGTGTCTATTTGCCAAAATATAACTAGAATTTATAAAACACTTTGGAAACGAATTTCTAATTTGAGTTTATTTTTATTCAGAGCTCTGTGTCATGATTGTAATGCTAAAGTGAAAGCTGCTGCTATTGGAAAATATATCTGCCATAAGTGCCAGTAAGTATAACATTTCTTTAATGGAAACTTACAGAAACCAAAGTTCTTATACTATTCATAACTCATTTTGTCAAAGATTTTTTTTAAAGAAAAGTTTCATTTAAACTACTTGTTTAACTTCTAAACCTGTATGAATGTGTAACATATGGCCATACAAAAACCTGTGTAATTGTTCTTAACTGACACTGGTATATTTTGGTGTATAATTGGCATGAGAGTGTTAATAGTTGAGTATTAATAAAGTTGATACAATTTTTCAAAATATTTCTTACTTACTATTTCTATATATTTTTCAGTGCCATCATTGATGATACTCCTTTGAAGTTTCGTGGAGAACCTTATCATCCATACCACTTTAACTGTACAGCATGTGGGTAAGACATTAATTTTGTATGCTTTTCAAGGTAATCAGTGAAACATAAAGATAAAAAATAATAATTGCTGGAAATGGGCATAGTGTTCTGCCATTGAAGATTAGGGCTATTCTACAACAGGTAAAGTGCTCTTAATCATGTATTTTTCTTACAAATTTTTTTGTTTGACTTGTTTGAATTTATAGACATGTTTTATGTTGTAGAAATGTATTTTTCATATTCATATGCAGTTAATTTATTGAAAGTTTACATCACCTTGTATATTATCTCTTTCTCTCAGTCAGTAGTACACACATGAAGTCTATTCAAATCGATGACGAGGAACCCACTTTGAGACTAATAATGGCTGGAGATGGCTTGAATGGGTAATGAAGAAAAACTTTAATATAAGTTTAACATAACAGCAAATGTACAACATTTCAACAAGGTTTTGTCATTATCAGATACAAAACCTTGTCGAAACGT